CACAGGGCAGCAACATCTCCTTCTCAGTAATTTAAATTTATGCTGAGAAAGCTTCCTCTGCCACTGCCAATAACCTGCTGCTGCTTTCCTGCCAACCTGGTGGCAAGCATTTGGAATCATTATATAGACATACAGTAGATAATGTTCTCAGCAATGGCCTCATTTGCTTGCACTGGTAATGTGGAGCCAATAAAGTTAAAGTGAAATTGGAGAATAAGGAGTAAAAAAAAAAAGTCCATGCAGGTACTTTTTAAGAATGTCAGTTCCCCTTACTACTGCTGATTCTCACTGTCTTTGCATATCACTGTGCTGTAGCTTTTGGTGGATAGAGAAAGTGACAACCACTGAACAGCATGAGTTGACACAGGCTCTTACGTAAAGCCATGTAAACAGCATCCTGCCCTCGTTTCAACCTCTGCCTTTGCACCGCTCCAGGTTTCTATTTGCCTGGGAGCCCATTTGTAGAATCCACTCCCTCTTCAACTACGTTCCAAAAATCATTGCCACTGGAACATCTTCGTCAGTCATGTGGATGCCTTTATTTATTTATATTACCACTGGGCTGTGTATGTATTATTCATCTCATTTTCACCATGTGGCTAAGATTTTTTTTCTCTCGTCCTATTCTGACACTTGTTCAGGCGAGCGTGAACAGATGTCGGTTGCCTGTGCTTACAGAAGGGTCCATCCTCATGCTTGCTTGCTAAATTGAAGAGAACGCTCTCACTCCATCCAGTTCAAGCCAAGTGGTGAAGCCCTGTAGCAAAGCTGACTGCACCTCTGCTCTCCAAAACAGCTCAGTGCCACAGCTCCAACAAAGGAGGATGAAAGTGGAATCACAGAAAGGTTCGCATCCTGGCTGACCCCAAGGGGTCCTGATATCATCTTTCAAAGCTGATCCTGCTAATGTGGCAGGAATTATGCATTGTCTTTGAGTGTGCCCAGTGCCCCTCTCACAAAGATTAGCACTGTTGTGTGGGAGAGTCAAGGTTACAAAATATCTAATCAAGTTTAAAAGATTATTCAAGTGGGTAAACACATTAATTTGGGAGTAAATGTGCTGCTTCACTGAAGGAAATTTTCCCACATGTCACATAACTGTGTGCTGCCAAGAATAAAACCACACATCTTCTTTCTCAGGGGTGATAATGACATAATTGTAAGGCTATACTGACAAAATGGCCATTCATCATATCTTATTATGCTCTGGGAAGGAATTTAAGATGACAGCATCGATTTGTTTTGAGCATAAACGCAAAGTGTGATGGTGGAAAAGCTGATTATCTTAATGAAAGACTGATTCTATTCTCTTAAGTTAGGGAGTATCTGAGGTTTAACCACATTATTCAACCCCTTCCTGTAGCCGCAATATTTTACAGAAGTCACTGTTTGACTGGCGTTACTATTAAATATTTAAAAGCTGCCAAAATTAATCAAAAAATAACTTTCATTGTGAGGTGGAATAATTGTCTCTATTTTTTAACATGGCATCTGATGCCCATTAGCAATTAGCTGATTAATCAGATCTGATTAGCTGTCAACTTTCCCTCTGGAGATTTCTGAACTGAATGTGAATGAGAGAGGTATTTGCTAAGAAAAGGCCCGTTACACAAAGCTCATCTCCCCTGCTATAGTTCCTCTCTCCTCCCTCTCCCTCTATCACCACTGTTTCTAAGAGAAAGGATTGATTAAAACAGGAGAGTGGTTCATTAGATTCTGACAAGCGACACCATATCTGCAGAACACATGTCCTTGGAGAAAGCTGTCTTAGCCCATGTGACTTACCGTAGTCGATGCCATCTCCACAGCAAACACTATCCCCAAACTAATTGAAACAAGGTGCTCCGTGGCCCCGCTATCTACCCAGGTGACAGCTATGCGGCACCCACAAATCCATCCATGAAAACTGAAGAGCTTGATTAAAATGCACCTTCCTTAAGTGCTCCATCAGTGTAGTTTCCCAGAGGGAGAAAATAGCTTTTCTGTGATGCAAACAAGTTGTCACAGACATTTTATCTTCCTTACACTGGAAGCAGGGTTGTCTCCCTGGCAGGTGTATATTGGTGTGTCAATATAAAAATCGACTTCAAAATGAAAACAAAAGGCACTACTGCCAAATCCATGCGTAATGCAGCAGTGCATTTCTATAAATGTAGGTCCTGATGATGACAAAACTATGTACAATGGTGGTATGAAGTGCTTGATAGATTAAGTGTAATATTTGTGCCATTTAGTTTACTGCAGGCTAAAAAAAAAAGCCACGATAGCATATTTATTAACTGGGGAAAAAAAGAAAACTCCTGAGTGCCTCTAAATCTAAACACCATTAACAGTAAAAAGAAATAATTATTTGATGCTCAGCGCCGCTCTGGAATTTGCCAGCTCTGTGAGCTGTTGAACAAACGTACTGCAGCTATCACTTTGGTCACCTTCCTCCTCTGCAGAGAACACAGTTAGCGTTTCTGAGGCCCAGCGCTGCAGCCTTGAATAGCAGCCAGTAGTGGCTTCTCTGCCCTGCCATGTCTCAGCCAGGGCTGGCTGAGACTGTTGGGAGGCACAAGGATGCTCTCTGAAGTTCATAAAGCATCAGCATTTTTTCCACCAGGTCATTATGTGCAACCAATACCAAGGCTGTGTACAGCACTTCAAAAAATGAGTAGGAAATACCATGCCACCCTTGAACATTCATTTATTCATGTCAACATACCACAAACTGCCCTACCCTCAGAGATGCCTTCTACACATAAAGATTGCTTTTACATATATAAGTGAAGCTTAATGGCATTTCCCGGTAGTGTGAGAGATGATGCTTACAAGTCCACATTAAGATGGGAACAGTCTAGCATTTCACAACATCAGCAAGAACACAGAAGAACAAGCACTGTACGATCCCTCTGTAACACATCCACGTTGCACCATGAGACACAAGGGCAAGACATGCTGCTGCACTCCTCTCTGCATCCTAGAGCACCAAACCATCTGACAGATAGCTGGTTGTGAGCTGTTCTGCAATTTCTCTGAGCGCCATGTTGGAGCTGCACCTCAGAGGGGAGAATGGCTCTTCTCCCTTTAACTTCTCACTGTTACTATGGGAACTGGCAGCATGCTTTTAAGTCTTGTATGGGACCTTTTGGGAATGTTCCAAAACAGAAATTCAAGACTTTTGCCATCTAACAGTACAGACACCACTTCTAGCATCTAGTTGGCTCATTACTACGTAGGATAAACAGAGCACCTAGCACTTTGTGATTTAGTGATTTTATATTCAGGTTGTGTTTTTGCACGACTTAGTAGAACACCAAACATGATCTTTCAGCTAAAGCAAAAGTGACAATCATGTTGTGAAGTAGAAAATGTGAAAAGCACTTTGCTTTAATGCATAATTATATGTTTCCTAATGAGACGTAATAGCTAAGTCTATTAATTACTGCAAACACAGCGATGGGAAGTAAAAACTACCTCCAGCTGAGAACCAAGAGCACAAAATTGATAATTTCATTTCCTTTAACCTGCTGCTGAACACCCTGCAAACTTCCACATGGCTCCAACTGTTAAAAAAACAAAAACAACAGCAAAAAAAAAAATGCTTGGATTCAAATTTTGTATGCAGACAAATTGAAATTGAATGTGCTCAAATTATGTACCCACGCATTGTTCACCTTGCTCACTCAGTAAAATTATATGGACAAATGATGAGAATAAACAGAAGGACTACTGGAACAATAGCAATGTGGTTTGTTAATTTAAGCAATCAATGAAACAGGAGAAATAGAAAATGACTTTGGAGCCTTTGTTTTGCCTTTCCAAAGGGATACAGTACTACAGCGCCAAACAGTACAATTTCTTTGGAACACAATTACTCAACACAAGCTGGTGCAGGGTGATTTCCTGACAGTAGATTACTTCCTCACTTTCCTGCCTGACAAGTATTAGCTGTTCTATTAGCTGTTCATGCTCCTTTGAGATTTCTATTATCACACTACTAACCCGTCTACTTTGATGGGCTACTTCTCGCAGTGCAGGCAATGACATCACATCCTGCAAAGCTGCTTTGTCTTGGCTTTACCCTTACCAGTAGAGAATAACACACATGGAAGAGAGGAAACAGAAAAAAAAGGTATGCAGTGATACTGTAAGGCACAGCTGTTCACTTCACACCAGGCACAGCATTCCCAGAGACACAGCATGAGTCAACATGCAAAGCAATGCAAGTTAGAACACCCCCGCTTCCCAGAAACCCAACAGCACAGACAGTAAAGGGGAAAAGTCTTTCCAGTCCGACCAGAGCAAAACTGTGGCAGTCTCCCCATGCCACACACACACATACACACACCCCACACACATACAGCTGGTACCCATTTGTAATATGTATAGCAAAGTCAGATCTGGCATATATTGTATCAAGGGCTTTGAGTGCTTAATATTATTACCAATGGATAAGAACCCAAAAGAACCACAGTGCGTGCGTGCCAACTATGTGGACGGCAGGGGGACTGAAACAGTCTTGATCAGCACTTTGTTTTCCCAGAAAGAAGAAGAGACGAAAGAACCAATGCAGAGCTCAACTACAAAACAGGCCGTTTGGAGAAATGTGAGCGTGATGGGAGCAAACTTTGATCAACACAGTACCCTCACCCATTTACCTTGAAGGTACTTCAGGCACTGTTAATAGGCCTGCTTTGTATCGCTCCCACGTGCACCTGAATGCCTAACAGAGCAGGGTGGACACAAACACAGAGGCTTTTTTTTCCTGACCTGCCACACAGTGCAGCAGGGAGCCGCACAGCCAGGGAAGGTGGGATGTACATCAAAAACACTTGATCCGCTACAATCACTTCATCTGTGCGTGTGCATGGAGCTTGTGTCTGTTTTGTCAGACAGAGGTCAGATGGTCCTGCACAAAAATCTTAGTGGGGTACTGTATTGATGCAAGCCATGCTGGAGTTATTGGAGTCGGAGACAGAGAATGGAAACATCATTGACCATATTTATCAACCTACCTGTGATGTTGACCTCCACGCTGCCGGTGCGCGTCCCGATGCCGTTAGTCGCATCACAGACGTATGTCCCGGCCAGGTCATAGGTCACTGACCCCTTGAAGAACAGAGTGTTGTTCTTAATCTCCACATTACTGGGCAGGGAGCCATTCAAGCTGTGGTGAGAGAGAGAGGCAATAATACAGACACCATGAAAAGGCAGAATTACACCCAAACCACAGTTTAAAAAAAAAAAACCTTCTCCCAGGAGCAGCAGAGAAAATCAAAGTGTATAAAAAATACATTCTCTAGTGCCAAACAAACCTGGATGTGTGTGTGTGTGTGTGTGTGTGCGAGTGAGAGAGAGAGATAAATACCAGGAATATCTGACAGCGCTATTTCAGCCATCATCCATCAAGTTTAAACAAAATTATGAGGACAGGGAATCCCAGTAGGTCCAAACAGGTAAGACATAGCTGAAGCCTGAGGGCAAAGGCTTTTTGACATGTGGAATACAAAACATATAGTGGTAGGTGAGTGATGGGGAGGGAGGGGGGGGCTCTTCCTTCCTCAACTAGAGCATGGCTCACATAGCTGAGCTCAAAACTCATGGGAACTGTCAAGAGAAGCAGCTGATGAAGCGATAAATGCAGAATGTACCAAATGCTGGGCTGTCAATGAGAAGTGGAGCCCGATTCTCCTGCCTGAGGTGTTTGTCTTCATGGTTCGCTATCTCTACCGCCTTCAGACTCACTCATGTCCTTTGATCAGGTCAGCACACTTTGAGGTCATGGACCATGAGCACACCAACCCTCCATTCTATTATCTGGACCCCTTTTATGGAGCCTGGAGGCTGAAAAAGGGATCACATTTCATAACAATTAGCCATTTCCTGCTGCCTTCCCCTCGATCAGCTTCATCGGTTACTCTGAATAGACCCAGCAACAACAGGACTTCTGTGACTGTGATAATATTAACTAGCTCTCTGGCCTGACTGTCGGGAACTGCTGGGTGCCGATGACTGTTTTGGTTTCTTTGCACAGTAAAGATCCTGAAAAGACGTGGCTCCTGGCCTTGCTCTCTGTCACAGAGACACTTTAAGATCGGTTGGTGTGCGAGAACATTATTGCTCCATTTATTACAGCAAGAGAAAAAGAAAATAACATTATACAGAGATGACAAAATTAGGTCTCAGGCTAGCAATGGCCACCCATTAAGTCCTGTACACACTTTCAGTGATCGAGGAAGGCACAGTGACAATTATTTGTTATTAATCTATCAATAATGTCAATTGCAAACAGCAGATCCACATAAAGAGTGGATTTTCAGAACGGGTCAGAACAGAGTATTATCATTGTATAACAAGGTATCTAAGGTTTAGAACAAAAGTAATAAAAAGAGTGATGGTCAAGTTGGTTTTCATCTGCCGTCTTGGGTTCACAGTGGAACTGCAAACAACGCTCGGTACAGTATGTTGCAGTTCAATAATCACTTACCTTGTGAGCCTCTATCAAATGCTGAGTTCTGCAAAGCCAAATTGATCTGCTCCAGAAATGAGAAACTGGCAAAGTGCGAGTAACCACAGATTCTGCCAGGCACCAGAGATGTCTGCATTTGTATGAGACATCGGAATGTGTCTGTGGAGCCTGATGGGCAGCAAAATGGAGAGCCAACAGCTTGAGATCGATGCAGATTCTTTGATGACTGGTTGGCCTGCACATGTGTGTGCATGTATGTGATGTGTGTGTACAGATGTGGATTTCCTTATCAAACACATTATTGTGTTGAGGTATCTTTAAACTTGAATGCTGACAAACATAAAGCAACGACATGCTTCAAGGCCAAAATGGACAACTTTAAATGTTATTTATATTCATATCTAAAAATAAGACTATTCACATTGGCAAGAAAAGAAATTAAGCCAGCTCTCTGGATGTCAAAGAAACAAAGCAGCAGCAATTATCCAAGTGTTTTGTTGGCCTGAAAATGTTCTAACATCCATATTTGATTTTTTTTATTGTGAGATTTCATTCTGATGGAGAAGCCACAGACAAAACGGAGAATATTTACATACTGCTTAAGTAAAAAGGGACGTCAGCCTTTATAGCCTCTGCAGTACGACCGTACTACATCTTTACATAATGATGCTATGGAATAAACTTGATTTATAGGGGCATTAGACAATCTGTGAGTTTTATCCACAGCTACTGGTGACTGAGGAATTGAACCAACAATTCTCTTACAGTGGCCTTTAATCAACAAGAATAATAGAATCACATTTCCACAACAGAGATAAGTCAGCTAGTTAATTAGAGCAGAGGTTGGGGTAATCACACTGCAAAATGCAGTAACAATAATAATACTGCTGTTTTTATATGTAGCAGCATCCAATATCTTCGAGCAAGTCAAACTGCCGCATGGAGGGAGGGCGGGTGCGAGTGCTGGAAAATGGCTTTTCAGGAAAAGAAAAAAAGAAATCTCACCAAGTAATTGAGTTCTTTGTGATAATAAACAGCTCTTCATCCGCCCCTTCCCTAACATACTGTTCTTACACCCATTCAAAGCTACAGTTTGCCCTTAAAACAAAACAAATGAGCACAGCGGGTCAAAAATGCCCTACAAACAAACATTTCAAAATCAAACTAGAAAGTTCAAATAGGGTGTGCCCTTTTTTTTAGTCGAATGCTGCTGCCTGCTATTTCAGTGCAGCTCCCCATTAACCCATTTTGAGAAATAGCTTTGGCATTGTGCTGTAAGAAAGAAAAAAAAAATCTAGGATGCTTGGTTGCTTCCTTCAAGGATTCTATATATGCCAAGGCTTTCTGCACACTTTACACCATATAGAGAAACATAGAGTGTGAACAACTGCTTGCAGATGATACAAATAAAGATTATTTACAATTATAGCTGCACAGTAAATCAAGAAAAAAAAACCCAATAGAATTTATGAAGTCATTAAATAAGATAAATACTACATACAGTTGATCGTCTCTGGAAGTAATGGATCTGTATCAACAACATTAATATTAATCAGCTCTGGCTACACCTCCCCTCTGTGTGTGTGTGTGTTTTTGTGGTTAAGTGTGACAGGCCTGCCGGCCTGGTCCGGATCTTTCTGTCACAGCTTTGTGCTGACCTCCACAGTGGAGCCCAGGGGAACCTTCACAACAGATTTGGCATCTCATTTTCAGTGCAGCTATGGCCGTCCCCTCCTATCTGTCAGCACAGTCTCCTCGTCTTTCTAGATCACATCTCTTCACCCTCCTCCTCTCCTCTTCCTATCTCCCTAAATCTCTCTTTGCCTCTGACAAAAAATAAATAAAGAAATAAAACTAACAGGCCAAATCTTCTCTATCTTGGCTTCTTCTTCTGTTGCTGTGAGTTTCTGCCCTGAAAGCTAAATCTATGTATAAGGGAAAAAAAACTCCTCATGCCTCATTAAAATCTAACAGTGGCACATCGAGTAGATACAATGAGGGCACAACGGTCTATTAATCCACATCCACTCAAGTCCAGTGACAAATTTCTCAACCTCGTCTTTACTGCCCAATTACAGGACAAATTGCAACATTTATCTCTCAATAATACTTTCATTTGAATCCGTGATACGCTCAGAACAGTTGCTTTATATTCAAAGAGCTGCACCAACATTTTGCATTAAAATGCATTAAAGGGTTCGATCAGTGCAAATTACAACAGATAATTCTGCATTCTAGTTGCATTCCTCTCGTGTCTCACAGCTTATATTTAAACTACATCATTTCTGGATGACAGACTTTCATGCCATTACTCAGAGTAGATCAAACCTGCGATTATGTGCCAATTCCACCAAGGCCTTGAAAACATGTTTGTATCTCTTCTTCTATGTGTGTTTGCAGTGATGGTCTCTTGAGGTAAAAACACTGATGTCGGTATGTCGGCCTAATCCACAGCTCCTACTTCAGCTCCAGCTGCAGCCCTCTGCTCTGTGTGTCCTGCCTTTCTGTGCCCTCGACAGAACACAACAGCACTAACAATGACGCTTTCTTGCTCCCCATATCTGTGGCACTGGTCCTCAGACTTCAAAGCAAAAGCAAACTGTGCTCTGTTTGCATTTATCTCCCAGTATCTGTGACCATCAGGTAAATAGGGGTGTGTGTTTCTGTAACAGGCCCATTGTGCTCTGCCTCAGGTCGTAGTCTTATCTTCATTTCACATTTTATAAACAAATAAACAGAGACATTTCTGCAGATGAAGGCAGTTAGTGTGTTTTTTTATCTTTGTAGATTACTTTCTTGTATATGTGCCTTATGACAAATGCTGGGAAATGTCATGCTCCATGTGACTTTGCCACTCTATAGAACCGTCTTCCTGTGATTTAGCAAGCCTTCTGCTAGAACTTTTCCAGTCGCAAATCTAACATGAGAGAAACACCATGTAGGCATGCCGTCTTGTGTTCGGGGCCTAAGGGGTTTTGTTAGGGTTTAGTCAGACTCACAGTTTCCACTGGTAGATCGTGACGGGCGGGTTAGCATCAGCCCGGCAGGTCAGCTGAACATTCTGACGGTTCAGGTGCCAGTTTCCATCAAAGCCCTCGATCTTCACCTCAGGTTCATCTGCAAGAAAGGCATGCTGTCAGTTCACCCTTGCAGAACATAATCCAAAAAGCACTGTTGTATTATTGTCTCCCTGCTGAAACACTCCAGTGCTTTGGCAGCAAGACAGATAAAACAGTAATACTATAAAAACCACAAATTCATCCATCAATAAAGACTTTGTTTTGTATCCTTGTATGGCACTTTTTCCTAATTCTAACGTGTTTCATTAAGATGTGTGTATATGTGATCAACTACCATCTTTTCAAAAAGCTATACTGTTTATATATTGTTGAATATAAAAGTGTTCCTCTTGAATCATTAACAGAAATTGAAATTCAGGGTGAAGAAAATCATAGATTTTGAAAACACTGTGTGTGGTGCATACCCAGGAGCTCATTTGTGCTGCTTTCTCTTCACTTTGTATAACCAGATGAGATTCTGAGCTGTGTTTGTACGAGGACCTTGTTTACTCTAAACTATGGCAACTGGTGTCCTCTTACAACAGGATGAGCAACCTTTAGATTTGTGACAACATAGCATACAGATTTCAAGATGGTGTGGACCTATCTGCTCATTTAATAAATAAAAACCATTTCTTTCCATTAAAAACCCAAAGTCTTAATATAATCTAAAACGAAGACTGGAGCAGATTCTTACACTGCACATTGAGCACCACGCTGTCTGTGATCTTTTCATTTCGGTACGTCACGATACATGTGAGCTTCTGTCTGTGGGTCTCACGGCTCGGTGTCACCATGTAGTTGCTCCACACTGTCACTGTTCCGTTTTGGTTGCGAGTTTCCTGGTGGGTGGCTTCGCCCTTCAACCTGGTGTCCCATTTGATCACACTTGGAGGCTTCCCATTGGCTGATACACAAGTGGCAACAGTCATCTTGGACTTCTGGGGCTTGGCCACAATCGTGGGTCTTGTCAAGGTCATACGTGTCATAGGCCGAGCTGTAGAGTAGAAAAGGTTAAAGTAATCAAGTTACTGAGAGGTAATTAAAGCTTATTAGAGAAAGATCTAATTTCTTTTATTCTTTTGGTTTACATCTTCTTAAATTTTGTCTACTTCCCCCTCAATCAGCCTTAGATTTGATGAAAACAGTCATTTCAAGTTGATGAAAACAGCTATTTCAAGTTAATTGAGCTAAAGGGCTGAGATGAAAATGCAGCTGTAACTCAAATCAGGCAAAATTTTGCTTCTCTCCTTCCTCAAAGCTAAAGTGGTTGTCAAAGCTCTCACAGATGTAGAAGCCACTTGCCTACCCAAATGCACAGTCATCCAGTTTGAGTCTCCAATTAGCAATTTACTCTTAGTACATCAAAAGGCAGGCTTGAGCTTGAACGAATGCACAACTGAAAGAGATAGGCTATGAAGAGGCCTCTGTGAACGCTGCCGGTTGGTTATGTGCACACAGGTTGCTGATGTTCACTGAGCTGCAGAAGCCTAAAAAGGCCTGGGAGGCTCAGTGACACAAAATAGGGACTGAGTGTTGAGAAGAAGCCCTGGCATCAGGGACTACTTGAGCCAAGTGCTTTTCCTTTTACTGGTACTTAATGAAAAACACACCAACACCAACATTTCTAATTATATCTCTAATCAGAGTTAACGCACAACCTTTCACAGCTGCCTCTTTCCAAAATAAACTACATCTCAGGCTTTTCTTTTTTTCCTCAAGATGAGATTATGCAAGCGAAATTACACACTCTGAAGCAGCCTCATTGATTTCCATCAGCTGCCATTTTTATTGAGTGCTCTCTGAGGCGGTTTCCTTTTCCATAAAAGCCACATGGGCCGAGCTGGGATTGGTGTTAAACGTCACCCCAATCACCACACCATCAATCCGTCATAATGGTCCGCACTTCAATGCTGAGCACGTATACACAACATCAAGGTCTGCACAGAATGAGCGCCTTGTAGACTCAACCATGACGTGACGGTCGGCAAGGCTGTTCCCCAATCACAGGAGTTTCAACTGTTGTTAACAGCAAGAGCTTTAGAAAACAGACAATCAACACAGCATCTGGTCTGAGGTGTTTCAAAAGAGTTCAACCGACTATACAACAAAACCTGTGGCAGTGTTCTGTTGAAGAGCAGGGCTGTTTTCTTTGAGCCTTTTACAAAAAAGGAAGAGGCCATTTTGACCCTGTCTTATCTGATTCAGAAAAATGTTCTTTTTCAGAATAAAGTCAAAGAGGAGCAAAATGTGGACGACAGGTTCAACATCCCTTGGACTACTCATCAGACCAGCGGTAACATATTCAAGGAAATAGCCCCTTAACTGATCTTAAGATGTAGACCCTGGTATCTTTATCTGTTTTCCTGGCTCAAAACATATTTACACATATGTGATTCGCTGCAACAGTTACAGAATCTGATCTGGACAATCCACCTTTGTTTCTTACAACATGTGGAAACTTGAAACTAACCAGCTACTGACCATAGCATATAATCCTGGGTACACTGAACACATTTCGCATTTTCATATGGTAATCCTATTTCATGTCTTCACTGTTCAGTGAAACCCTTGTTTCTCCAAATCTGGTGATTTTATTTTCAAGCTAATTGAAGGACATAGGATTTCTTTGTGGATTATTAAGATAAATAAACTATATAAAACCACACTGAATTATGGGAGAAATGCTTTGTTGCAAAGCGGTAAACATCTTGTTGTCTTACCTCATGAGATGTTGACATTGTGGAGATACTCTTTGAAAATATATATCACCAATGAAAGTTGCTGAAAACACTGATGCAACTTGTAAAAAGTCTTTAAAAGTTTTAATTTCCTTATTTACCAAGGCAGAAATGTTTGAGCCAAACATTCATTCAAAACCTACTGTATGCTCATCTGTCTCCAGAGAGACAAATCAGGCTTGGAAAAAGTAGAAAACAAATTGCATGACAACTGTAAGTATTAGATGCATATGCTGAGGTTCAGTTATGTACAGGGGCCTTCTGTAGTTGAAAAGATTTCACCAGTTTTATCCTGTTGTAGATTCAGTCGGGGGTAAAGTTACTCATAATCTCTGGGACATTTGCTATTTCTCTACAAGTTCTTACCATATACAGTGAGGTTGACCATGTTCTCCCGGTTGCCTGCAGGAAACGTGGTATATTCGCAGATGTAGGCAGCTTCATCAGACAGCTGCAGGTTGGAGAACACGATGGTGGTGTCCTCCAGTGAGGGCGTACGGTGACGAACCGCTGCCTGCTTGAAGCTGACCCGCTCCTTGAAGGGTGGCAGAACGGACACACCCAGGGCTGGGTTGGCTATGGCTACGTTCTGCTTGGTGCCATTGAGGAGCTTCTGCCAGGTGACTTGAGAGATCTTGACTGGCGGGTTACTGTTGCTGAAAATGCAGCGCAGCTCCACTTGTGAACCCACAAATCCAGACTTACTGGGGTCCATCTGTACCATCTGTCCATTGCCAGCTAGGAGTAACAGACACAGAGAGGTAAAAAACATTTAATTATGATTAACAAGTGTCCAAGGCCAAAGAAAAGCACTCTAGTCAATAGCAAGTACATGCACTGAAAGTCAAAGAGTCAATTCAGCCTCCCAGGTACTACATGCACGCACAACACACAGTCAAAATCATGGATTTAGCCACAAGCACTCCCTATGCTACAGAAGCGCCGTCTGTTCCCTACACAGCAGCACAATAAGTCAGTACATGGTGGCGGTCGTGTGTAAAAGCTGGGGGACTTGTTATTAACATAATGGGCACATCTATACAACCCTGTCTTTGTCCACGAGGGTACTGTTCCTGATGAGTTGGGAGGGCTGAGCAAGAACCAATGCATCACTAATGAATGAGTACAAGGGCACTGAGTTGGAGCCAAGGCATCGTCTCCTGCGCTCCCCTCCACCTACCCAGCAACACCCTGGCCAGCCCATTGTAATTTTAATTACTTTTTACTTACAAATACTTCAATGACTGCCTCAAGCTCCTATTAAGAGAAACAATGTGGAGTCCTGTGAAAGCACAGGAAACAATGAGAACACAAACATCAGCTAGATAAAAAGCCCAGCAATTATGTCCCTCTGCCCTGCTATCTAGGCGTGGAGTTTAGCAGCAAACAAAAAAGGTCAGTTACCAAAAATGGACCTTCGGTAAGATCGCCTGTTGTTTAGCCTTTCATACTTAAGTTGATGTGATGCTAAACTCATGAGCCAAACCTTTGTCATGCCCAGCTGTTTTTGACTTGATGCCTGGTATGTCCACAGTTAACAGCAGTTAACATCCTCAAATTACATGCTCATTACAGTCTGCCTGGTTTTATCTAGAAATGTAATGATTAGCTGATTGAGAGGAAATTACCCGACAATGATTCTGATGGTCACTTATTTACCTGAATCATTATGTATAAGTCCTGGGAGTTTGCTCCTTTCTGTTTCAGATCATTGTAAAATGAGTATTTTGGGGCTTTAAAATGATTTCAACATGTGACTTTGGCCTCAGCAGTTTACACAGTTTTCTGCCATTTTATAGAATGAATGATTCAAAGATTAAACCAAATAAATAAATAAATAAATAAACACATTAATCACTATAGAACTTGGTGCTCCTGTCTGTCTTCGTTCCTTCAATTTGAATGCAGAAAACCAACTACAACTTTTATTTCACCTACTCTGGGGACTGAAATGAGCGTAGCCTGAAATTGATGTGTCATTGCTGTGTCATCCTTTGCTGTGTAAACAGTGCTGTGTTGTCTTTGACACATCTTTGTTCCCTCAGGCTCTGATTTATGTTCCTTTACAGGTGAAGTCTGATGATGTCTCATTTCCTGGTTGGGCTTGTATTTACAACCAGCCACAACTATAATTATCTCCTATGGATAGGCGAGGACCCACAGGAAGAAAGACTGAAACTCCTCCATTAATCACAGTGGATTCATAAAGCCACTAGTGAATCAAGTCATAAAAAAAAATGTTGTGGTCTCAAGTGGAGGACCGGGGCCTGCACACATATACCGCAAACAGAGTCGCTCTTCAGCGCCGAGTAACTGCATCCCAACGATGGGTAATCGCTGCGTTCAGAGATAACATTTCCACAGGGGGCTTTAAAATGTATAAGAATGCACAAGAAAGATCCATTTATGTATACACCTACTGAATACAAAATCTAAGCCTGTCTTTGGCTATACAGGAACCTGAAGGAGAGAGGAGGGAGAGTTCAGTGTGTACAGGTTGTCAAACTGTCTAAGCAGCGGCAGCAATTGTGATGAAGATTTTTCTTATAAAACTGTAGGCAGTCAGCTGAAGGACACCGGGGCGCAAAGCATGCATGAAGAAAGGAAATAGTTGACGCAGACTCTGGATAGAAGACCATTAAAATGAACAATGTCTTTCTTCCTTCTCTCACAACAAGCACACAACTCTAAGGTTGAATGGCTTATGCTGGAAAGCAGAGCATTACGAGAGAAAGGCAATTTCTATCCATTGTTATATGCTTTCACTCAAGTATAGCCAGCGCTGCCTACATCAAATCGGAATAAAAAAAAAAGTAACAACCTTTCAGAGCTACTGAGTGCACATCATCTTTCATTTCCTTCTGACCAGATCAGCAATCCTTAAACTTGTGGGATTTGAAGATGACAGATTGATTTACTAATACAGTCTGACAGGGAAGACTGGCAACCCTGTGATCTGTACCTTGAGAAACACCTGTGTCCTTGTGCACCTCAGGGCACTGCTTTACTCCATTTTATCACAGCTTAGATTACCAGTCGTGGCAGCTATAGTATGATATTTTTGAAATGGCAAACACAATTTACTGTGTGACAACACTAGTTAAAGTTTAATCTTAAGTTGTGTGGAGGCTGTGTGTGCAGTGGGGGGTGGTGGAGATGGGGGTGGGGGATCTGCAAAAACTCACAAACATGTACCTGCTCAGAGCTCATATACTTCAGTGCTAAAACAATACTGGCAGGGGCTGACTGTATGAAAAGCTGTAGGCCCTGCCTCCCTCACTCCGTCCTTCCTCCTCTCAGTCTGATCCACTCCACTCAGATTGAACCAAACAAACAGCAGCGCACACAAATGGAAACCAGACGAATAGGCATAATTACACAGACACAGAGCCAAAATCCCTCTGTGAAGGACCAGGGGCGCCCACAGGGACCCCTTTCACTCTAGGATTGGAGGAGTCCTTGGCTGAGCACAAAGTAGAGCTATAATTACAGACCACACCACAGAGTGACAAAGCCATAGAAGAACACAACCACATACATGCAAGAGGCATTAAAAAGGAGGATTTTGTGAGGGCTATGAGAACCAGTAGTGCAAGAAAAACACGAAGAAAAAAAGATAGGCAAAGTAGTGGAGATGCAGAATTGCTGTGAGGAAGAGGGAGACAAAGAGGAAGGTGGAGCTTCAGGCAGAACTGTAGGTGTGCTGCAGGTTTGAGGCTGGCTGGGGCTGTCACTTGCGCTGCTGCTGCTTTGTTCTCACCCTGACAAGAGGGTGACTGGGGGGACAGACATGCTCTAATCCACCTGAGGCTATACACCGCCTTGAGAGTTGCCAGTGGAGAGAGGAGCCCTATTTCTGGAAGGAAAAGCAACAGGACAAACAAACAAAGCAGAAAGTATGCCCAAGCTGGCATAATATAAAATAAAAAAAAGAAGAGTGGTTTGATTCACAACAAGTGAGCTGACTTGGATCAAGGGGGACATAAGGGGCACTATTAAAACAGCTGCTCTACCGTCTGGCCATGCACTGATAGCAAGAGACTCCCAAGGCCTCAGCACAGAACAGTTCACAGAACATTCAAATGGAATAAGCTCTGGCCTGTCAGGCAGCAAGGAAAGACTTTGTGTTGTTTGCATATGGCACAGTGGACAATACACACAAGGCATGCTGCATCACATCATAGCCTTCGGTCAAACACTGTCTCATGGTGCGTGGATAATCTTCACTGCAGAGGGCTGACTATAGATCTGATCACAAAAGGGCGAATGTGTTTAAATCAGAGAGAGAGATATATTACCCAGGTGGGAAAACAAACACGAATATGAAAAACAAGCTTGATTCCTTCCTGTAACAAGAATGAATGAGAAACATGACATTAACACTCAATATTTGCCTTTTGTCTCTGCTGCAGAGACAGAGAAACAATTCAAATTAAAGTTTCAGCACCCAATATACCACATTCATCCATCTCCTCATTCCCAGTCTTTCTTCTCTATAATATTAAACCAGACCTTGATCTACATATAAAACAAAAACAAAACCATAAAACCCCAAATTGAATTTGACAACCAGGGTCCCTTTCTCTGAAGATTATGAAGCCAGTTTTCCATAAAACAACTTGCATTTGGCAGCTCATCTCACTGGGGATATGCAGCACTATTTTCTTTTGTTTTTTCAGCTCAGCTGGCCAACAACCAACAGTATTTTAAAAGACAATTACTGGCTGCTTTACCATTACTTGGGCTATGCTCATTCAAGAGAAATCTATTTGTGCTTGAGTCAAATAAAGTTGAGAATAATTCACCTCTAGCTGCAGCACTGTGAGGAAGGCAAAGATTAAATAGGACTGAACGCATATTTTAGAAGAGGCAGTCATTAATGTCTTCTATTTAAAGCTGCACCGGCAACATGGCACACTGTCAGTCCCAAACGGCAGCAAGGCGCCGCTGTTTGAAGGCTTCAAAACCTAAAAAATGTGTAATTTGAAGTCATTAAACTGCACTCTTCTTGGACTTGGATGTCGCTTCTCAGGGGCTTTTTAGAGTGGAGATGAAGTAGGGTTTCCATTTTCACTGGACCGAGGGATGACGTGTCGCTTCTTGTAGTCAGGGACAATTTCCTACTTATGTTCAGCGTCACCACTGATTTTTTTATTTAAACAAACAGGTCAAATTTGACATCTCAGCCTGTAGAGATGCAACAGTGTCATCAACTGCAGCTCCACGTTGTGAGTTAAGCAGATAAACCAGGCAGATTTTAGCATAAACGTCTTGCCAGTTGCAGCTTTAAGGATAATCACACACATGCCTGATCTTCTTTGGTTACTGTATTGTTACTTCAGTTGGATGCTGATAGACAAAAGATGGCTTGAGCCACTCGGGATAATGACTGTTTAATGTAGTCCCAGTTCCCACGGCAATGGCACAGGCCTTTGTGCTGCCCTATTTACTGTATGTCCACACATGAGGTGTTTAGGGGAAGTCCAAATCTTATTACATAAACACACAGACACACACACACACACACACACACACAAACTACCAATTTGTTGCTTATTTACTCCTCTGGTGGAGCGTTTTTGTTATTTTCTTGTCAGTTGGTATTTTAGAGCTCCAGCAACATGATTTTGCTTATTTGTTTTTCAAAATGCTTTATAAAACATGAACAGGTGGCAAACTAAAGGAAAAACCTGTGATGAAAAAATGATTTGATGAGTATGAGCATGACCTTCACAGGT